ACAGACTCAATCCTCTTCAGCATGGAGGACACCAGAGTCCACTCATTTCTGCTCACATGTTCTCACATTCTTCACACTGTTTCATTCAGCTGCTCTTTGCCGGAGGGCTTGTGTTGCTCTAACGTTCTCTGTAAAATACCACAAAGGTGTTCCGTTGCATTCAGGTCAGGACACACACTGTTCTACAAGGTGTTTTTATTTCGAACCTCTTGCTGGAATATCGCTCTGGGAATCATCTTGTTAGACAGTATTTTGGTTTCTTCACAGACATTCATAGGGCATCTATAAAAATCTCCCCAACACCTTTTGAACTCATGCAGCCCCATATCATCACACCGCCACCTCTGAGCTTCACTGTCAGGACTATATATTCACTGTGGTGGTCCTGGTCAGGTTCACACCAAACAGGCTGGACTCCACCTGAACCCAACAAGTTTATCTAATGTTCTCCCAGCATTCATCAGGCTTCGCTTTATGTTCTTAAGCAAACTTTAATCTGGATTTTGTTTTTTCTTGTCCTCCGTCTGGAGTGGTTGATGCTCTGAAGTGTCCGTCACGCTGTCTGAGCTTTACAGAAACTCTGATTTCCACTGATAAACCCTGATAAAGCAGCTGTCACCTGTTTTTCGCAGCTAGATTGTGAAAGTAGTTCACTGTCTGTGGAGTCACTGTTTGTTGTGAACTGATTAGCTGTGGGGTTTTGAAGTCAGCTGTGTGACAGAGCTGGTTCTGGTTCTTTCTGATCTGCTGGGTCAGCCCAGGTGTCCAGAAACAGATGATACTGCAGGTGGCAGGTAGGAGCTGGTGGGTGGAGCTTGGCAACGATTGTTGACTCCACCTGGATCAGTGGTGGAAGCATCCTTAATAAACCAGGTGTGCTGTCAGGTGACAGTGGGTCCGAGGGCCTCTGGTGGCTGGGAAGAGAACAGCAGGTTGTTCTCAGATATTTGAGGCTGGAGTTGGTGACTGACGATGTCACATATGTGTTTTCATGAAGACATAGTGGTAAACAACAAGTGTTAGTCGAAGTGAGCTCTGCAGCCTCCAGCAGGATCTCAGAAACTCTGTTAACTCCACTTTCAAGCCTCCATCTTTGCTCTGAAACCAGAGCACATCACTATGAAGGTTCTCATGGATCTGCATGGTCCTCTACCTGCAGAACTTCCAGGTTCTGCTGCCTCAGGCTGTCTGAGAGCAAACACTGGCTGGGTTATAACCAAATCATGTTCTGTACCAACAGAACATACTGATCTGGGCAAAATGTATTATTCTGTATACAGAAAAAGCAAAATCTGCATTTGATCTCACGTACTGCGTCCAATGTTCACGTTCATGACACCAACATCTAAGGCTTCAAACATTTCACAACTATGCAGAGTTTCACCACCAGAGGAACAACAGAAGTCCTTATCAAGTTTTCTGCTCCTGATTCTATCTAAAACCATTTTTCGATCAACACATTTCTTGCATCATAGATTAACTGTAGTTTCTGGTTGTTCCACCAGGTGGAGCTGTTTAATGCTGTAAAGACTAGAGCAGGTATTACTCAGACTACCGGCAGTTCATGTTGGCAAACTGAGACCGTTGTGGGAGTTTAGCTATCAACGGGCACCATGAAAGACTTCTGTGGAGGTTAATGACCTCCAACCAGAGCTCACGTATCAAAACATCAGATGCTACACGTTAGTTGTGCTGTTGTTTACTTTCGTAAACCAAAAGCTGAGCTGCTGAGGCAAACTACACAATAATGATTTAACAAATCCACACTACATGGAGCTACATAACGTAGTAGGCAATACATACTAAATATGGCATTTGTACAAACTCAATAGGGCCTTTGCCAGTAGCATGTAGTATGATGTTTCAAATGCAGCCAGTGTTTGTTTATTTGTTCGTTTGTCGTTCAGCTTCAGTTCTCTCAGCATCACGCACACTGACAGGTTCTCTGTGTGCGACACACAACCAGACACGCACGCGCACCACAAAATAAACCAATCAGAGATGAGTGTGAGAACACAGATGAGTGATCAAAACGTCAGTGTGAACCAAAGGACCATCTGGACCTCAAAGTGCGTGTGTGTGTGTGTGTG